CCTGAAACAAATAATACATTATATGTTAATAGAAAAAATTAAAAAAAAAGAAAAGAAAAAGAATGGGGCTGATGCTGCTGCATATGGTACATGATACCTGGGGGATACAGGGAGATGGAGAGTAAGACTGCCCTCTAAGGGCAAAACCACAAAGTCCCATCATCGTGGACCAAGTCACAGGGACAGCATAAGCCCCAGGACAGCAGATCGTGAAGTGGAACCCACCCGAAAGATGATGTCAGTTGGAAGTGTGCGTGCATGGGGCTTGTGGGGAGGTGCAGGGATGGTCAGCCAGAAAACTACAGAAGTCAGTGATGAAGTCAAACCCTGGCAGAGTCTGTCAAACCGACCCCAGGACAGCATGGGACCAACAAGGCCCCTACGAACATCCAAGGGACCCAATTATCGTGGAGCCAGAGACCAGGAAACATTCTTGCCACATGGTTAGTGGACTTACTCCATTACTCCATTTCATGCTCACCGAACCACCTCTAACCGTCTCCCTTCCCACGTCACCTGTCTTGGAGAGAGAAAACATGCTTTTCAGGTTTGTCAGGCTCATGTGAGTTATCTGGCCTGGGAAACTGTTCCATGTCTCAAAGTGAATAAAGGAATGAGCCTCTTCTGAGCTCTGTCGGTGTGAGTCTTGGACTCTGGAATGCTGATTGCTCAGCACCTGGCCGGGGAGCAGCGGAGTGAGGACACTTGAGTGGCTGATTTCCCGAGGGGACTGGGTGCCATGAAAGCTGACCCCGTGTCCCCGAGCCCTTCCCAGGAGGTCTGATGCAGGGATGCATGCAATGGGCATGGAGGCATCTTGTAATCTGGAAAGTGCCCCCACATCACAACCCCTACTTCATCAGACAGGACATAAGGGCCCTAAGCCACACGAAGGGCTGTCACGCGAAGGGCTGAGTCAAGTTACCCGACACAGGGTGACCAAAGCCAGGCTGGGACTCAGGCTGCCTGAGTCATGAGCTGGGGTTGCGCTGGCCTGTTTTTTTTCTGAGGGTAACTCTCACTTTTAAATTCACACTGTCATCATCCGTGATTTATTTAACTGGCTTCAGGAACTCTCCTGCTCAGGGACTTTTAAGGGGATGATATTCCACAGACTGCCCCACGGTTAACCACTGTGTGCTAGCACATGCAGTGGGGGAGGGGCAGAAGAGACACCCTCCCCCTTCACGCCCTGGAGCAAGAACAAGATGGGGACTCTGGTCCCGCTGTAGAGGCTTATAAAGTCAAAAACATTTAAGAAGTGATTACAAATTCCCTACTGCTTGTGAATTTTACCAACGGTATCATCATATTCTATTTTTTTTCCTGTATAATTTCAACCTCATAGCCATAACACTTTCTAGAACCACCCCTGAAGATATTTAGGGAGCATAAGAGAACAAGTTTTGCTTTAGTACATGGGAGACCTCGGGACGCCTGGGTGGCTCAGTCGTTAAGCGTCTGCCTTCGGCTCAGGTCATGATCCCAGGGTCCTGGGATCGAGCCCCACGTCGGGCTCCCTGCTCCGCAGGAAGCCTGCTTCTCCCTCTCCCACTCCCCCTGCTTGTGTTCCCTCTCTCGCCGTGTCTCTGTCAAATAAATAAATAAAATCTTTAAAAAAAAAAATACATGGAAGACCTCTGTAAATGTCCATTTGTTCAGAGAAAAAAAATGGGCTACCTGAGGAAGCAGTGAAACCCCCACCACTGCGTAGTGCCCAATCATACACTGGCTAATGTTTTTGTGAGGAGGACACAGAGCAGATTTAAATCCTTGGATTGGCAAGACGACTACCCTTCAACATCTCTCTCAACCACCTGGTTCTCCAAGTTTATGTCACCTATGACTATGTACTTGTCTTTACCTTCCTTAACCCCCACACTCAAGGTCTGCGTTGATACCCATCTGAATTAACAGCATCTTAGGTTCAGAACCAAAAGCAACTTGAGAGGTCTATCTAATGTTAGTCTGTGCGGGTGCTACCACCAATACGTATGAAACAAAGCTATCATAAATAAAAAAGGTATCAGCAGAGTCAAGAAACAGAGAAACAAAACGACTCCTCCCATATCCTCAATCCTCCAAAGCCCCTTTCCATTTCTTTCTGGAAACACACACTCTCCCCTCTGCCAATATGCACACCTAGCTCTTCCCAGGGGTTAACATCATTCCTCCCACAACACATACAAGTAACACAAAAACAGCCACGCGTTTAAGCAACGTACGCTCACTCTCTTGTGTCACCCCAGGTCAGAGGAATGCCCCACAAGTGGCTCAGTCCCTCCCCACCTCCCCCCAACCTTGACCACAGCCCAGGCTTCCTGCACACAGAAGAGCAGGGGCAGATGGGTCTTGAGGGACTATTCCAAGAGACAGGCTGAAGCAGCATCTACAGGACACACGGTGGGGTTGGGTGGGACTGAGGGTCGTTCCTGCGACAGAAGGGCACAGCTGCTAAGAAAGCCTCCTCATCCACCCTCCTGCCAAACCCTCTTGCTCATCATCACTTTGAATTTAAAGTATTTCCTAAGCTCAAGACTCAAAGGTCCAGGTAACAAAATGCAAGGATGGCAGGAGATAGAGCCCTGTTGCCCATGGGACGCCAGGATGAGGAGCCATGGGGCTGACGAGGCCACTAGCCTCTACACCTCATCTGTCTGCCCCAACTGTGGCCTCCCGACACTGTTGCTGCTCCGGGCGCACCACTCCCCAGACAAGGAAGGATTCTGTCCAGGGAGCAGCCTAGCAGGACAAGGCATCCCATGCCTACTTCCCTGCCCCCCTCCTCACCAGCTTCTGGGTCAGAGCCCCTTACCTTCTTCTTCTTCTTCAGAATCACTTTCACTCCATCCACTGAAACCATAATGCTCACCTTCTTCTTCTTGATGTTCTTGGCTTTAAACTCATACTGCAGGGGGAGGAGAGAAAGAAGCACAGTCCAGTTAGATCAGCGCACCTACATGGCCCTGGCTAGCTCATGGCCTGGTAAGAGGGCCACAGACAGGTTCTCGCGGGATGTAAAGGCAGGTGGGTGTCTCGGGGTCAGCGCCCAGCCATCAGGGACGACTGTGGAATGGGGTAATCCATCCTAACGAGATGAAGACCGAGCCCGCCTTCAAAACCTCATCAGAAACCCAGAACCTTCCCTCAAAAATTCATTCTGATGTTTAACGACCTCCACTAACAGGTTTTTCCTGTGTCTGTGCAAATGCTGTGGAAACTCAATTCCATCTTCACTGAAGATTAAGAAGAGCTGGTACCAGTCTTCAAATCAGGGTGGTTGTTTTTTTGTTTTTTTTTTTTTTACATATTAAAAAATTATGAATTCTAAGTTATTCTCCGTAAGTTCAAGTCCCAAATTCCTTTATCTGTAGGTCAGTTTCCAAGTTTACCCACAGCCCTATTAGCCTGAAATAGTCTAGAGAATATTCTAGAAAGGATTTAATGATAGTTACAAGGGAGGGCACTGCCTCACAACCCCTCTTGCTGATTCAACCACAGCCCTACCTACTGGTGGGAAATGGCCTCATCCTCATCCCCAGACTTTTTTCCATTCCATTTGCTCATTTCTAGCCATTTCTTATGCCTGTGCAGACATCTGTAATGGCTGGTGTAATTCTACATTTTCCTCACTGAACTTCATTCTGAGCCCTTGTCCAATTTATTAAAGTCATTTTCATCTGGTCCCCATCTTGGGAGCAGCACCTCGCAAATTTCCCTGCCAAGCTAATGAAACATCTGGGCTACAGGTTAAACAATGATTATGCAAGACCCAGAGCCAAGATCTCTACTCCAACCCGCAGCTCCTCTTCTCTGGGACTTTTTATACCCAACATTCTCTCCCACCACACCACCAGCCAAGCGGCTCCTCACCTGCACATCTAGTACCTAACTATTTCTAACTAGTGTGTAGATAGAAATGAACCCAATCCATCCTAACAAGATGAAAATATAACCTGCTTTGACAATGTCACCAGAAATCCAGAACCTTCTATCGGCCAATGCTCTGATTTTAAGGATTCGACTCACAGCTTCCAAACCCGTCTGCATTCTCTCCCTTCCCCTGAAATCTGAGCCGATCTTACCCTGCTGTACCGTCTGTGCTGATGCCCCCTGGCTGGCTGCCTCCTAGAGACAAGGGCACAACCCAACTGAAGCAAGATATTTTTCTTTATATTGTCAGGGCAGATTCTGGCCTACAGCTGATGTGAGTTTCCAGTGACAGCAACATACATACATTACTGCCCACTCTGGTGGTCACTCTTCCTACCCTGTCAACAGCTGTCTTTTTTACCAAGGGGAGCTTGAAAGAAAAGCAAACCAGAGCAGCAGACATGCAGGAGAAAGAAAACATCAAGTTCAGACTTTGCTTCGGAGCAAGTGTGTCTGACAGCATGGGAGAAGCGTGCTGGACCGGAGTGTGGCTCAGGACCGGACCTCAGCCGTGCATCAGACCCCTCTCTAGGGCGGTGGCTGTCAGCTGGTGAAGGCTACGGCGTGTCTGGCGTACGCTTCAGGACCTGGCTGTGATCCGCAGCAGGTCATCGGACTGTGCCTACTACTCAGGTACAGTGCTCAACAAATAGAACTACCTCGGGTGGGAGAGCCAGTAGAGGAATCCACAGGTCAGCCCACTTTGGCTCCATGCCCACCGGGACAGGTGAACCGGCTACATCTGACCACACCTGCGTTTACCTCTGCTCACTGGGGCTTTCGGTCAACACAACCCCCGCGGTGCCTCCCGTGGCCACAAGTCACTAAAATCAGGGCTGTTCCTGCCAGCCAAAGGTGTGCAGAGTGGTGCATGTCAAAGAACTTGGGTGGGAGGTAAGAGCCTACGCGTCCCAGAAATGCCAGATATGGACGAAACCAGCCCTATACCGGTCAGTCCTCCGTGACTTATCTTTGGTTCCTTCCAGAAGTTCAGTGACAAGCCCCATGTACTTCCTCCTTCTGCTTTTCCAGCAATAACATTAAGTATTAGGTGTCCACGTCTAGAAGGCACGATGTCCCTCCCCCAGCCCGTTTTAGAGAGCACACTGCCTGCTAAACCGTCTTAGAGGTCCTCTATTTCCAGAAGAATCTGGTAGCTGATCACGTCTTTCTTGTTGGTCCACCTTCCTATTGGTTGCACGGTCTCTGGGACATTTTTAAGAATCAGGATCCCCCCCAACCCCCAGGCAAGGCTGGCAAGAGGCACCCGGCCAGCACCTGGCCTGCGTATCTGAAACATTATTTCTAGAGTTCGTGTCTTGACAAGCCATGGCTTTTAATATCCCAGTCTTAAGAAGTGAAGATGCAACTCAACATCCTCTTTGGAACTGGAACACTGCCTCTCATCCGATCTCTGTGCACAGCCTCCCAGATGGCTCTTCCAGGCTCTGTGGGCACAGGGCCCAACCCGTAAAAGCATGACCAAATGGCTGCCCCAGAACCTCGGTGGCGGTGACAATGCAGGTGTCCCTCCTGACAACAGCTGGTGGAATGCTCCAGAGTGCTTCCACACAAAGAGGGGCAAGACAGGCATGAAACAGGCCCCGTTATGGCTGCCAGTACCGCCCAAGGGCCATTTAGAAGAGCTCGTGGGCTGGATGCGTTCGGCCCCCCTTCCCCCTGCCCGGTGCGCAGGTGTCTCTGGCCCTTTCCAGCCCAAGAGGAAGTACTCCAATTGCAGGTCCGTTGGAAACTACAGAAATCAAAGGAAATCGAGTATCTGAACGTGGGTAAATATTATCCTGAAACCGTTGATTTATATGCCAGCTGCGCGTGACTCGGACAACCAGGTTATTGTGCTCACTGGGGGAGACAAGATGGATCTGGAGGCAGGAGAGATCCTGGGAAGTGACCAGGAGAACAGAGGGCAGGGGCTCACAGGGACGAGCCCTCCTTTTTCCCAGGCTGTGCTGCTCTGTGGGGGGCAGGCAGGCTCAGGAGGAAGCATCTGTGTCCCGCAGGATAGACATCGAGTCTGCTCAGGCTTTGCCAGTGGGCGAGGAACAAACAGGCCCGTCGGAGCCACCAGCCTCCCACCTCCCGCAGAGCCCAGGCCAGCTCTGGAGGCCACGCCAACAAGCCCGGCTCTCCCCCTCTGCACGGCCAGGCTGACCTGATGTGTTTGCTTTGCCAGCCGGGGCCCCACCACAAGGCCAGATTAAGCCCTCCAGGAGCTGACCTTTTAGGGAATGGAACAATGCGTGTCCTGGACCACGAGCCGCTGACGAGAAAGACCGCGGTAACGTGCCAGCAACCTGGAAACAGAGCCTGGGGACCCTGTGTTGGAACGCCGTGCGTGCCAACCAGCGGGGCCGGCGAAGGGGGTGCTGGGGAGGGGGAGGCGCTCGGGGGCAACGGGAGCCAGGAGGAAACCTCAGCAAGCCACAGGAGATAACACCAGCTGGAAGGCTGAGGGCGCCTGAGAACAGAGCATACCCTGAGTCCCTGGCGCTGCCCTGTCCCCCAGCCACGCCCCACCCCCCAGCTCCTGGAACCGCCTCCTGACCCCGTGTGTCTCCGTCCCCCACACTGGGCGTCTGCAAAGGGGCAGCAGGGGTCTGCACCAACTGAGTGTATTTAATGAAGGGACAAGCCCCGCCTGGGCTTGAGGCTGTACCACAGACACAGAAGTAACAGGACTTTCTCAGGAGTCAGGAAGGGTCGGGGCTATACCCCCACCACCACCCCACACACAACAGTCTACTTCCATGACAATGTCGAGCTCCCCGAAGAACCCCTGGATTTTGTACAGGGTCCCTGGTTCCTCAGTCACCTTGTCTACTAACAATTTGGGGATGTGCTGTCTCACCCGCAACATCCAAAGCTGGCCCCGCACACTCACTGGGATATTCATTTGCCCCACTTCTCCCCACTGCCTCCCCCCTCCCCGTGCCTACAGTTATGACGCCCAGACACGACTTCAGCAGGAGAGGAGATTCAGTTTGCAAAAGCGGATAGGGATGCTCTTGCCGGGCGAGTCCTCGGCTTACATTCGGCTGTGTTCACTGTCCTAGAACGGGCCTGCCCTGCTTCCTGGGAGTGATGGCAGGGAACTGAACGGCAAGCTCTGGTCGTGCCATCGGGCATTTTAATCACGTTCTGCCGGTAGTCTCGGTTTCACGAGTGCGAACCCATCTCTACAACCAAACCGTAAGCATCTCAACCGAAGGCGCGGTCTTACCTACGGAGGTAGTAAGAACCTGAGGATGCCCATGGCCAAAGCGGCATCCCTGACAAGAGCCAAAAGGTGGAGGCAACCCAAGTGCCTAAGAGTAGCCAACTGCAGAGAGACAGAAAGAAGGACAGTGGCTGTCAGGGCCTGGGGGAAGGGAAGGGAGGGGTAGGGAGGAGGAGTTCGTGTTTCACGGGTATGGGCAGGGTTTCCGTTCTGGAAGCCAAGAAGGTTGGCAAAGGGATCGTGGTGATGGCTGCAGGGCAATGTGAATGCCATATGCAAACGCCATAGAGCCATTTTTAAAGAACAGTGGAAGCGTTAAATGTTATGTATACCTTACCACAATAAAAAGATGAAAATCTGTAAACACAGTACAAAAATACATCCCTCATCATGGCGGGTCCACGTTAGCTCTGCTTGCCCGTTTCTGTCCCTCTCCCATGCTCTCCCATGTGCACGTGAAACATGCCACCCTCTTCCATTCTTCCGGTTGCATTTCCTGTCCCTGGGATGCACTCCCCCCACCATCTACTCGGTGAGCTCCTGTTTCTCCTGGAATTATCCCGGGAGCCGTCTGCACAGCGAAGCCTCACAGGTCCGCTTCCTGCTTCCTCCCATGGGGCTGGGCCATCAGCGTGGATATGACAGCCATCCGCAAGCCTCTACAATCATTCGCCACCAACTGGTTGTTTACTTCCCCACTAGGCCAGGCCCACCCCTTCGAGAACAAGAAATACAAC